GATTCCTTCATCGCCTGGCAGTCTTCCACCATATGATGGGTGCTCTCGCACCACTGGCAGAGCATCGCCTGCTGCTGTCCGGTCCCTGGAATCATCCCGGAACGATCGATAGCTGAGACCAGCTTCGATACTACCTGCACCAAATCAGATGACTGGGTGCCCACAGCATGCACACCCCGGCCTGGTGCTCTCCTCGATCTCCTGGCAGTGCCCCAATCATAACCATTCTCCGCCATCTCTTCAAAGAGTTGATTCAGCTGTGGCGGGGTTTTGGTCAGCATGTTCCCGCCACAAACCGAATCGATCAGCTGCTTGTCCTCCGGGAAGAGGGCGTGATAGAAGGTGCCCACCTTGAACGCATCGTTGAAACCATGATTGGGACACCTGAGGAAAAGACTGTTGTACCTCTCCCATGCATCCCTGATGGTCTCATCCTCATCCTGAGCAAAATGTGTAATTTGCTTCTGCAGGTCAGCTTTCTTGGATGGAGGATGGTAGCGGGTGAGGAACTTGTCCGCCAGGTTGGCGAACGTGGTGATGGAGCCCGGAGATCGAGTGTCTAGCCACTCCTTGGCCTGCCCCTCCAAAGTGAATGGGAAGTACCTCAGTTGGATGGCATCTGCTGGTACCCCATTGATCTTGATTCCATCGATGAGCTCGTGGAATCGCCTGAGATGTGATCGAGGGCACTCTCCCTGCTTACCACGGAACACTACTGAACCGCGCAGCATGGTGATCACGGAGGTGCTCACCTCAAAGTTGTTGGCTGGGACCTGAGGGTGCTGAATGGGTGGCCTCATGTCCGCAGCCCTAGCGGTCCAGTAGGAGCCCATGGTGTTGGCTGTGATAGCGCCTCCTCCGCAGCCAGTCGCGCCTTTAGAGCCCGCTTGAAATTTCTGCAGGTTCGTTCAAGCTCCTAGTCTAGTGGTAATAGATCTCCCGACTGGCTACGGGTCATGCACTACCTGCACACAATCAGCAGAAACAACCCGTGAAGGCACATAGGTGGAAGAAATAAAAAGCAGAAAATAAAAAGCTAGAGTAACAAATTCTCACTTTTCCCCAATAACCTAGAGGGGTCCCCGGCAACGGCGCCAAAAACTTGACACGCCAAAACACAACACCAATCTGCGACCAAGTGTAATCGCAGACCGGGAATGCAGTAACAGGCAAGTTATATTATCAACCCGGGCTCTAGATCTACTGCTTACTCAGTGATTCTCTGTTATCTAGCCAACTAGAGTAAGTGATTGTTGTTTAAACTAAAAGCAGAAATAAAGCAGGAAATTAATCGGTTTTCTTAAGCAGGAAAGAGTCACTCGGGAATGAATCCCCCTAGCTCTTTAGTTAGGTTTAAATTGCAATTTACCCTGGGTTGATTTACTGTTGATTAGACTGCGGAAGATCCGGCAGTAGCTTGGAATCTCTTAAGCTGACCAAGCCCTCTCAGTCTAACTACCCGGCAGACGACTAGTCTTCACCGGGATAGAAAGCTGAAGCAGTAAGAACAGAAATTCACTACTAGAATTAGATTCCAGTACAGAGCAGTAAACTGGCTAACTCTCGTATAACCAGTCTCCTACTATCGAATGATGAGACTCTAGCAACCTAATCAGATTCTATCTATCTCAGATTGCAGCAGGAATCAGGAAAAGTTGATCAGACTTCAATTGACTCAATAAACATGCATCATTCGATTATAATCAAACAGTAATATCATCCCAAGTCATTACAATCAATCCCCTAACACATAGAACTAGGGTTCTTCATCCCCAAGTGAGAGAGAGGTTCTACTCCATAGAGAGAGAAAAGAAAACAGTAATCGGAGTAGTCATACTCATAATGATGAGGATAATCTGCTCCGGGATGATGATTTCCACTCCTAGGACGATCTCCAAGCTTGATTTGATGAAATCCAGCTCCAAGATGGCTTATAGGGTGAGTTCTTCGCACTTTCTCTCTCTAGGGCTCTGTTTTTGCTCAAGAAATTCGATCCCCCCACTTCTGGCTCGGATTAGGCTTTAAAAACCGGGTTTTCCCGAGTTGCACGGCCAGGGTGCACGGCCGTGCACCTCACCATTCTGGCCGTGCACCCTGAAACGCAGCGTATCCCTTAAGTCGAACTCAGGCTTCTTGCACGGCCAGGTGCACGGCCGTGCAATCTTCAGGGCCTGCCCGTGCAGCTCCTCGGCATGAGGCGCACGGCCAGCTTGCAACCGTGCACGGCCGTGCAGCCTCCCTGGTATGCCCGTGCAGCTCCCAAAAACCTCGCCACTCGTCCGTTCTTCGTCCAATCGACCCCAGACTCGCTCCTAAGCCTTCATTCACGTACTAGGACCTGAAATATCACAAACAAGCACAACCTAGCGTGAAATCGGCCTAAAACACGAGAATCAACACCTCAAACGGTGTAAGAACGGGGGTAAAAACATGTGTAAATGACGATCTATCACTTGCTGGGGCAAGAATAAAATGGGCGAGGGTTTATTATTGTTGGGGGAGGGGTTTTATGAGCTGGGGAATTATTTGAGGGCGACCAACCCTCTCGGCCCCCTTATATATATATATATAATTATAATAATAATTATAATAATAGTTATTATTATTCTTCCTAATCTGCGGTTATAACTTTTAGTACGTAACCGTCAATCCAATCGATCACGTATTAAGGTTGAACCTAAACCTAAAATACTGGGGTGTTACACTTGAGGAAGATCCGACAGTAGCTTTGAATCTCTTAAGCTTACCAAGCCCTCTCAGTCAAACTACCCGGCAGATGACTAGTCTTCACCGGGATAGAACGCTGAGGTAATGAACACAGAACTCCACTACTGGAATTAGATTCCAGTACAAAGCAGTGAATCGACTAACTCTCGTACAATCGATTCACTACTACCGATTGAAGAAGCTCTAACAACCTAATAAGATTCGATCTATCTCAGGTTGCAGCAGAAATCAATAAAAGATGATCAGACTTCAATTGACTCAATCAAAACACTTCAATCGATTATAATCAAGCAATATCACAATCCAAACGTAATTACAATCAAGATTCCTAACACATGGAACTAGGGTTCTTCATACCCAAGTGAGAGAGAGTTCTACTCCATAGGGAGAGAGAGGGAAACAAAATACAAAGTAGTCATACTCATAACAATGGGAAAAATCTGCTCTGGGATGATGTTCATCACTCTTATGATGATCTCCAAGCTCGATTGATGAAACCCAGCTCCAAAATCACTTCTAGGATGTGTTCTTCGCACTTTCTCTCTCTTGGGCTCTGTTTTTGCTCCAAAAGTCCATTCCCTCTCCTTTGGCTCGAAATTGGGTTAAAACCTAGAAATTCCCAACCACGCGGCTGTGTGGATTTCTAGGCTGCCCGTGTGAGCTCCCTGGAATTCCCGACTCTGATTAGACTCTGAAAATTCCAAACTCCCTCCTATTATATTCTTCTTGCTTCATACCCAAGTGAGAGAGAGTTCTACTCCATAGGGAGAGAGAGGGAAACAAAATACAAAGCAGTCATACTCATAACAATGGGAAGAATCTGCTCTGGGATGATGTTCATCACTCTTATGATGATCTCCAAGCTCGATTGATGAAACCCAGCTCCAAAATCACTTCTAGGATGTGTTCTTTGCACTTTCTCTCTCTTGGGCTCTGTTTTTGCTCCAAAAGTCCATTCCCTCTCCTTTGGCTCGAAATTGGGTTAAAACCTAGAAATTCCCAACCACGCGGCTGTGTGGATTTCTAGGCTGCCCGTGTGAGCTCCCTGGAATTCCCGACTCTGATTAGACTCTGAAAATTCCAAACTCCCTCCTATTATATTCTTCTTGCTTCATACCCAAGTGAGAGAGAGTTCTACTCCATAGGGAGAGAGAGGGAAACAAAATACAAAGCAGTCATACTCATAACAATGGGAAGAATCTGCTCTGGGATGATGTTCATCACTCTTATGATGATCTCCAAGCTCGATTGATGAAACCCAGCTCCAAAATCACTTCTAGGATGTGTTCTTCGCACTTTCTCTCTCTTGGGCTCTGTTTTTGCTCCAAAAGTCCATTCCCTCTCCTTTGGCTCGAAATTGGGTTAAAACCTAGAAATTCCCAACCACGCGGCTGTGTGGATTTCTAGGCTGCCCGTGTGAGCTCCCTGGAATTCCCGACTCTGATTAGACTCTGAAAATTCCAAACTCCCTCCTATTATATTCTTCTTGCTTCCACAATTCCATAGGCGCAGGATGGGGAGTTTATTTTGGGGAAGGGCTTTTGTGGGTGGGGACGTTTGCGGGGGGAATTCGAGGGTGCCGAGCTCCTCTTTACCTCCTATATATAATTTTTTGCAAATAATAATAATAATGATAATAATATAATAGTAGTTACTATTATTAGTAATAATTAATCCATGGTTGTAACCCTTCGTACGTAACTGTTAACCCAACCGTTCACGTATTATGGTCGAACTAGAACCCAAAATTCAGGGTGTTACAGAGATTCATTTCTTTTGTTTCTTTTAAGAGTACGATTCAAGTTTTGCCGACGTGTTTAGGGCTTCGTTTTGAGATATTAAGATATTTGAGATTGGTGTTTTATTCAAAGTTGTGTTATTTGCGATTTGTAAATATACCCCGGGGTAGAAATGTATATTTCCAAGTTCAAAGTTGTGGGATGTTTCATTTTGGTATCAGAGCCGGTTGTCCTCTGTTTCTTGGTTCCCAAGAAATACTGGAATGTCGATCTCAGTTTTTAAAGGTTTTGTTTTAAAGATTTCAAGCCATGGTTTGGCCAAACAAGTCAAGGATTTCTTTTTAAAATTTAGAATCTCTAGTCTACTCTAAACAATATTAAGGAATAATTAACTGAGTTCTAACGAGACCCTATGTGTCTACCGTGCAAGTGTTGGCGCGAATCCCACACCACAGGTGCCACCGCCAGTGAGACTTCCACCAGACTATGTAGCTTTCCGGAAGAGAAGTGGAAGATTTTAAGAGGGAGCGTTCAATGGACCCCATGGAAGTAGAACAGTGGCTAGCCAAGGTCACCCTTACGCTAGTCAAGATGAGAGCTGATGATGCGGACAGAATACTGATGACAGTGTCCTTGCTGCAAGATGCTGCATACACCTGGTCAACTACCCAGCAGCTAGTCGAGAGGACCCACCAGCCATCACTTGGCCAGAGTTCGTGCAACTATTCAAAGACCACTTCATACCGGAGGCCTACCGGATCGGGAAGTAAAGGGAATTTCTAGTGATCAGGCAGAAGTGGGGCAGTGAATGCAGGGAAAGCGTGACTGATTACATGGACAGGTTTGACAAGCTACTTACCTATGGAGGGCCTCAATTTCAGGTTGTAGCAGCTCAACGCACCCATTATCTGGAGAGCCTGAATCCTGCTTTTAGGCGCTAGCTGAGTATATTGAATTGGAACAATAGAGAAGAGATCCATCAGGCAACTCTTTGGTTGGAGAGGGCGGATACAACTCTGCATGAGGAGGGGATAAAACGAGAAGGGAACAAGAGAAAGGCTTTCAGCCTGTCCGAGGGGCTAGGACAGCCGACTCCGCAGAGAACCCGAACATACCAAAGCTACTATCAGTCCACCCAGAGTCAGGCCGACTCAACCAGATCAAGGACGACCTACATTCCTCGGGACCCATGCAATAAGTGTGGGAGAACTCACCCATGAGAGTGTAAGGTGCACCTGGGAGGCATCTGCTATAACTGTAACAAGCTAGGCCACTATGCCAGAGACTTCCCTAGGAGAAGAGGGCAAGGGATAGCCCAGTCCGAACAATCAGTCTGGGTCGGAGGTGGAAAAACTCAGACAGGATAGCAGTTTGGCAACCAACCAAACCGGTCCTATCACCAGCAGGGAGGCAATGCAGGGCAATTCAACTGCAATGAGCGAGATCGAGGGCAAGGATCTCAGGCATCTAGGAAACGTAGACTGTTTTCCATGAGAAGAGAAGAAGATGGTGTTGCACCTGATGTGGTGACTGGTATGATCTCCCTTTACCACCAATCAGCTTTTGTATTGTTTGATTCCAGTTCCATGCACTCTTTCATTGCTACTAAGCTTGCTAAAACCTTAGGAATCCCATTTGTGAGGTTGGGGAAGAATTTAGGGGTAAGAACCCCAGTGGGGGATACCCTTATACTAGAATCAGTCATTCGGGGTTGTCTTATCACCGTGGCAGGGCACAAATTTGAGGTGAACTTGATTCTATTACCCTTCGACGAGTTCGATGTTATCTTGGGTATGGATTGGCTATCAAAGAATAGAACGAAGGTGGACTGCTACAAGAAGGAGGTTAGTCTGGAGATAGAAGGAAAGGGCACTGCATTGTTCAAAGGGACTAAATAGCTTATTCCTGGATGCTTAAGAGGTGCAAGAGAAGAAGATAGAAGATGTACCTATCATAAGGGAATACCCCCGAGGTATTTCTCGAAGATCTCCATGGGCTACCGCCACAACGGGAGGTGGAATTCGATATTGAAGTGATTTCTGGTACTGCACCGATATTTATTCCTTCTTACCGTATGGCACCAGTGGAGTTAAAGGAGTTGAAGGAGCAGTTGCAGGAGCTGTTGGAGAAGGGGTTCATATGCCCTAGTGTATCACCATGGGAATCACTGGTGTTGTACGTGAAGAAGAAGGATGGTAGTATGAGACTGTGCATTGACTATAGGAAGCTGAACAAGGCTACCATCAAGAACCACTATCATTTTCCAAGGATAGATGATCTCTGCGACCAACTACAAGGAGCAAGGGTGTTTTCGAAGATCCATCTACGGTCAGGGTATCACCAGTTGCGAGTGGCAGATGGTTCAATACCTAAGACGGCCTTTCACACCAGGTATGACCACTATGAGAACCTGGTCATGCCATTTGGTCTGACTAATGCACTGACATCTTTTATGACACTAATGAACCAAGTTCTTCATGAGTACTTGGATAAGTTTGTCATCGTCTTCATATATGACATACTGATCTACTCGAGGAGTAAGGAAGACCAGAAAGAGCACCTTAGGGTGGTTTTGCAGAAATTGAAGGAGGAGAAGCTATATGTAAAGTTCTCGAAGTGTGACTTTTGGTTGGAGGAGGTCTTGTTCTTGGGTCACATGATTTATGGACGTGGAGTTGAAGTGGATCCCAAGAAGATTGAAGCTGTAACAAACTAGGCTCCACCAAATAATGTTTCTGAAGTGAGGATTTTTCTGGGTTAGGCTGGGTACTACCGGAGGTTTGTGGAAGGTTTCTCCAGTATTGCACAACCCATGACACAGTTGTTGCAGTCTTCCAGAAGGGGAAGGAATTTGTTTGGGACGAGAAGTGTCAAACGGCGTTTGAGTCGCTGAAAGAGAAGTTGACCTCTACACCGGTGTTAGCACTACCGATCAGCGGTAGAGAGTATTGAATATATAGAGATGCTTCCTACAAAGGCTTGGGCTATGTACTGATGCAAGATAAGAAGGTGATCACCTACGCTTCGAGGCACCTACGACCCAATGAGGTGAACTATCCCACCCATGACTTGGAGTTGGAAGCAGTGGTATTTGCCTTGAAGTTATGGAGCCACTATCTCTACGGTGAGATGTTCACCATCTACATTGATCACAAGATCCTCCAGCACTTGACTGATCAGAAGGATTTGCACATGAGGCAGAGAAGGTGGATGGAGTTGTTGAGTGATTATGACTGCACCATTAAGTACCATCCGGGAAAGGCAAATGTGGTGGCTGACGCATTGAGCAGGAAGAGGGAGAGCCCTTTACCGAAGTTGGTCTCTTTGAGGGCCATGAACATGGAGTTGGAGCTAGAGGAGGTGACAAAGTTGTTAGCAACTTTGACAATTCGTCCTATGCTGCAAGAACGAATCAAGGAGAAGCAGAGTGAATATTTGGAATTAGAGAAGTACAAGACGCAAGTAGTAGAAGAGAATGACACCAAATTTGAATTGGTAAATGGGGTACTGATGTGTCAACGAAGGTTGTGTGTCCCAGATGTTGTTAAGCTAAGGAAGGATATTCTGAACGGGGCTCACTCTGTACCTTATGCGATGCACCCTGGGGCTACTAAGATGTATCGTACCCTCAAGGAGCATTTCTGGTGGCCAGGGTTGAAGAAGGCGGTAGTTGCACAAGCCTACCAATGTTTGGAGTGCCAAATGATCACGGCTGAACATCAAGCTCCAGTCATTGAGCACTTACCGTTGGAGATTCCGCAGTGGACTTGGGGGAAGATCACCATGGATTTTGTGGATGGTTTACCGAGGACCCTGAGGGGCAATGATGGAGTATGGGTGATTGTGGATCTCTTCTCGAAGGTGGCTCATTTTATACCCATCAAGTTCAAGCCAGGGCTGGAGGAGATGGCTAGGTTGTATGTGAGGGAGATAGTGAGATTGCATGGAGTTCCTCTTAGCATCGTGTCTGATCGCGACCCTAGCTTCACATCACCATTTTGGGTGGTCCTTCAAAAGGCTATGAGCACTAAATTTCACTTCTCCACCGCATACCATCCCCAGAACAATGGACAGTCAGAGAGGACCATTCAGACACTGGAAGACCTGCTAAGAGCGTGTGTCTTGACGATGGAAGGAGCTTGGGATGAGTATTTGCCTCAAATGGAGTTTGCTTACAACAATCAGTATCACAATTCAATAGAAGCAGCTCCATATGAAGTTTTGTATGGGAGGAAGTGTTGTACACCACTATACTAAGATGCAGAAGGAGTGCGATAGCTAGAGGGTCCATAGATTGTATAGAAGGCAGTGGAGAAGGTGGAGGTGATTCGTCGTAACTTGAAGGCGGCTCAGGATCGACAGAAGATTAATCTTTTCAATGTTAGTGTAAAGGGGGTAAATTCTACGCCTTACGTGTTCTTTCAAGTATTACGAGCGTTTAAGTATTTTGATGAAGTGACTATCGTTGTTTGATTGTGCTTATGATTGATGATATGTGCTTTGTTTGCGCTATGTTTTGAATGAATATGTATGAGTTATTATTTACCTTAATGCTTTACGCTAATTATGAGTGATGGTAAGAAACAAGTTATTTTTAAGTACTACACCTTCAAGAAGGTGAAACCGTTTTAAGAGTTTATAGTCACTAGCGCCAGTCCGTTGCCATTTGGGATTTTGAGATAGACCAGCAGTTATGCTCTTGAGACTTTTAAGATAAGCATCATTTATGCTCTTGAGATATTTTAAGATGAGCAACAGTTATGCTCTTCAGAATCGTGGAAGAAGAGCCTTCCACGATGAGTTTAAGTTTAAGGAAAGCCTGGATGATCTCTCATACGTATGAGTTGGTAACCAGACTAGCTAGTGAGGGATCTCAGTGTCAGTCGCATATGTAAGTTAATATTTGTGCTTTAAAAATAGATGTTAAAGATTGGAAGTATCATCCACCAGTTTAACTTAAGTTCTTAAGTAAGAAGTACTAGAGATTTCAAACGTAAGGGCGTAGACTGACCCCAACTCACTCACCAGATCGTAGAAGAGGAGATCATAACCAGCCAGTCCGTGACCAGCAAGCTAGAGGAGCTCAATACCACCGTCGCTGAGGGATGTCGAGCTAGGCGTCATAGTAAGCATCGAAGAATTCCTTATATTATTAAGACTTTCTGGGTATGAGTTTAAGACTGAAGATTCATTTCTTTTGTTTCTTTTAAGAGTACAATTCAAGTTTTGTCCACGTGTTTGGGGCTTCGCTTTGAGATATTAAGATATTTGAGATTGGTGTTTTATTTAAAGTTGTGTTCTTTGAGATTTTTAAATATACCCCGGTGATATAATCAATGTTGCGCAGGGTCAAGCTTCTCGAACCAAACAGAACCGGATAGGATGGAAATCGATCGGACAGTACTCACCTGTGAATAAGGGCAATCGATATATGAATCGATCGGACAGATTCAACTCGGAATAAAGGGCAATCGATATGGGTAGCTCGCCACAACCAGGGTGAATACCTAGCTGATAAGAGTCGCTCTAGCACTCTGGAGATTCTCAACAGAGTAATTAGGGCAAATTCCGTGTAGGGAACTCGGCAATAGCCTCTGAAATTCAATAATAATAATCTAATAACAAAGCCAACGTGTTCAGCCCTTTAAATAGGCAAAGTACAACCCAAATCCGACTCCAACATGGAAAAACAATCATAAACCGACTTTAAAACAAGGAAACCCGAAAATAGCCTAGCAAACCCGTTAAGCCCAAACTGTTAAGCCTGAACCCGTTAAGCAAACCCGTTAAGGCTTCTTGCAATCTGCCTTTTCTCCAGCACTTCCTCCTTCTTCCTCCACTCGAATCATTATATATGGCTTTCCTCGAAACAACTCCACGTCCATGGTCCCAAAGTAGCTCTCCAAATACGTTGCAAGCTTCTCCTTCAACGTTCTTACCTTTGCACGTGTGACTGACCCATTGATGTCCTCATCAACCCCTCCTTCTTCAAAAGGATTTGCCCTCAAATCCGAATTGCCATCCAAATAAGGTGCAAGGTCAGAAACATTAAACGTTGCGCTTACTCCATACTCTCCTGGCAAGTCAATTTTGTAGGCGTTGCTTCCAATCTTCGAAACCACCTGGAAAGGACCATCACATCGGGGCAGCAACTTTGATTTCCTCTGTTGGGGAAACCTCTCCTTCCTCAAATGCACCCACACCCAGTCGCCAACTTCAAAGTGCCTCGGTTTTCTGTTTTTGTTCACATTGCGCATTATCTGCTCCGTCCTTCTCTCAATGTTCAATCTCGCCTTCTCATGTAAACTCTTCACGAACTCGGCTTTCTTGGCTCCATCGAGATTGACCTGCTCATTCAAAGGTAATGGCATCAAATCCAAAGGCGTGAGTGGATTGAAACCATACACGAGCTCAAACGGAGTGAACTTTGTCGTCGAGTGCACCATCCTGTTGTAAGCAAACTCCACATGGGGAAGGCAGTCCTCCCAAACCTTGATGTTGCTCTTGATCACAGCTCGAAGCATCTGGGATAATGTTCGATTGACCACCTCTGTTTGCCCATCGGTTTGAGGATGACATGTAGTAGAGAACAACAGCTTCGTCCCCAGCTTGCTCCACAACGTCTTCCAGAAGAAACTCAGAAACTTAGTATCTCGATCGGATACTATGGAACGCGGCATCCCATGCAATCGCACCACTTCCCTGAAAAATAAATCAGCCACGTTAACCGCATCGTCAATCTTATGGCATGGGATAAAGTGTGCCATCTTTGAGAATCGATCCACCACCACGAAAATCGAATCTCTTCCCTTCCTTGTCCGCGGCAAACCAAGCACAAAATCCATAGAGATGTCGATCCATGGAGCATATGGAATCGGTAGCGGTGTGTACAATCCAGATGATTGCACCTTCGACTTGGCCTGCTTGCACTCCACACATCTCGCACACAGATTCTCCACGTCTCCCTCATGTGCGGCCAATGGAAGTGCTCTTGTAGACAACTCAGCGTCTTGTCTACACCAAAATGTGCCATTAAGCCTCCTCCATGAGCCTCTTTCAACAGCAACTCTCGAAGTGATGATCGAGGAATACACAACTGGTTAGCTCGAAACAAGTAGCCATCACTTCGATAGAACTTCCCATCGCCATGCTGCTCAGAAGCTCTATAGATCTCCCCAAAGTCAACATCATCAGAATAGAGCTCCTTGATATGCTCGAAACCCAAATACTTCACCCCCATTGTCGTGATCAACGAATGCCTTCGAGATAGGGCATCAGCAACTACATTTTCTTTGCCCTGCTTGTACTTGATCACATATGGAAAGGACTCAATGAACTCAACCCATCGAGCATGTCTCTTGTTCAGCTTGTGTTGAGCTTTCAAATACTTCAACGACTCGTGATCAGTGTGAATCACGAACTCCTTCGGCCAAAGATAGTGCTGCCATGTCTCTAAGGCTCGAACTAGGGCATAAAGCTCCTTGTCGTACGTCGGATAGTTGAGGGCAGCCCCACTCAACTTCTCGCTGAAGTAAGCAATTGGCTTCTTCTCTTGCATCAACACGGCTCCAATTCCCAAACCAGAAGCATCACACTCCACCTCAAATGTCTTATTGAAAACCGGCAACATCAGAATAGGTGCGTGCGTGAGCTTGTGCTTGAGCATCTCGAATGCTCTGATCTGCTCCTCTCCCCAATAGAACGTCACGTTCTTCTTGATGATGGATGTCAATGGTGCAGCAATGGTGCTGAAGTTGGGCACAAATTGACGATAAAATCCAGCAAGCCCATGAAAGCTCCGCACCTCATTCACGTTGGTTGGAATAGGCCAATCGTGAATTGCTTTCACCTTCTCTTCGTCCACCTTGACTCCATCTGCACTCACCACAAAACCAAGGAAAATAACCTTGACTCCACCTTGCCAACACCTCTCTCAAGTGATTGAGATGATCCTCCATGCACTTCGAGTATATCAGAATGTCGTCGAAGTATACGACCACGAACTTGCCAATGAATGGCCTCAAAACATGGTTCATCAACCTCATGAACGTGCTAGGAGCATTGGTTAAACCAAAGGGCATCACCATCCATTCGTATAGACCCTGCTTGGTCTTAAACGCAGTCTTCCACTCGTCTCCCTCCTTCATACGAATTTGGTGGTAACCTGATCTCAAATCAATCTTGGAAAACACCGTAGAGCCATGTAATTCATCAAGCATATCATCTAATCGTGGAATTGGATGACGATACTTAATTGTAATTTGATTGATGGCTCGACAGTCTACACACATTCGCCAGGTGTGATCCTTCTTTGGCACGAGAATCACCGGAACTGCACACGGGCTCAAACTTTCTCGAACATGCCCCTTCTCCATGAGCTCGTCAATCTGCCTTTGCAGCTCTTTGGTCTCTTCCGGGTTAGCTCGATACGCTGCCTTGTTTGGAATTTGAGCTCCCGGCACGAAATCAATTTGGTGCTCAATTCCGCGAATAGGAGGCAGCCCCTTCGGTGCTTCCTCTGGAAACACATCCTCGAACTCATCCAACACCACTCTTGCTTCGGCTGGAACTTCTTGGAATAGCTCTTGATTGAGAAGCACGTCCCGATACATGAGCACAATCAAAGGTTCTCGTGCACAGGCAGCATGCTTCAAATCTCCATTGCGTGCTAGCATCACTGCCTTCGAATCCACAATTCCAGCTCCCTCTTCTCCTTTCTTGGCCGAGGCATTACTTGCCTTTTCTTGCTCTCGACGTTGCTGCATTTGGAGTTGATCTCGATATACTTCACTTGGAGACAGAGGCTTCAACACGAACTTCTTTCCTCCATGTTGCAACTTGTACTTATTTGTCACTCCATCATGCTGTGCTTGTCGATCAAACTGCCATGGCCTGCCAAAAAGCACATGTGTAGCTTGCATAGGCACTATATCACACAAAATCTCATCTTTGTAATCTCCAATCTCGAACTTCATTAGTGCCTGCTTTGTGACTTTGATGGATCCGTGATCGTTAAGCCATTGCAGCGTGTATGGCTTTGGATGCTTCAGCGTAGGCAGCCCTAGCCTCTTCACCGCACACGCACTCACAACGTTCGTGCAACTTCCTCCATCAATCACTAGAGACAGCAACTTCCCATCAACTACACATCTCGTATGGAAGATATTTTCTCGCTGTTCACTCTCCTCCTTAGGCTGTGCAGACAATACTCTCCGTGCTACAAACAAACCGCCTGGAGGTGGTTCCATTTTCATAGA